AGAAATCCTCTTTATTAGGGAAAGGTGCTGGGTTATATAGGAAGGGGCATGGGGTGATTGTGGTGTTACTTCTACGGGGCTGGTGGCTATTGGCTAGGTGCTGGGATTGGGAGGGGGGCGAGAGGTGATTGGTCTTCAGGTGGCGCCGTCGGGAACCGAGGACCTGGAAGAGAAGCCGGAAGTTCGCCATCTTACTGGTGGGGGCCCTTCACAAATGATACCTCAAAGGAGTAGCAACAGGAAGAAACTAGGTGGTATATTCTAAGGTCACAATTTAAAAGAGAATGCTTAACACATAAAAGTTACTTTATATTAATCCTGTATTTCTTTTTTGGCTGAGCCTAATTTATTTCTTACTAAAACAAATGTCATTATTTAATTTTATATTTACCTACTTAAAAATTTTTAATTATGGCATTCATTAGAAGGCATGCCTTTTTAAAATATGGTTATTGTTTAATAAAATCCAGCTCCTCACCACCTGCTCTCTGTTTCAATCAATGCTCAAAGTGTTATTTGAGTGTTTGTTTGGTGAAGACTAAATGTGTATATAAGCACACACTTCAGCCCAACAGGAAAATTCTATATTTACTTATGTACACAGTTACAGCTAAACTGCACCTTTGTGAAATAAAACTGTATTCCTGAGGAACCAATTTGGGACTTCATTTTATGATGTGAGAGTAAAAGAAACAAATAGTTTTTCTGTAAGGAAATTAAAGTTGTCATTTTAATTCCACTCAACTCAGATGAAATCCAAGTCTTAAATTATATTTAATAAGCATGAAAACCCAATTAAATATACACTTTTGGGTCAAATCTTGTCTCCAAAACTAAATGTGATGGCTGATTACTTCCTTTAACTCTTAAATAGGTATTTTATAAAGCTGGGGAGGAAGAGATATGTATTAGCAAGGAAGAGTAGCACATAAAAATATTTAGATCAATAATGAGGGTTTTAAATGGTTTCTTTATACAATTACTTTTATTATAAAAGTAATATAAACAAATTACAAAACAATTGAGATTAGAAAAGAAGGGAAAAAAGACTCATAACTGCATTACCATAGATATTCACTAGTAGCGCTTTGAGAATCTCCTTTCAGCTTTTTTTTTCCTATTTGGCTGCAAATGTAATAATACACAAATTCACCTGCTTTTTTCCAACTTTGCATTATTTGAAATGCATTTTTTTATGTGGTCATCTCATCTTCATACTCAACACATCATCTTTTAAAACTACTTCTATCAGGTAGTACTAACAATCCAACAGCTGACATTTATTGAGCGGGTTCTGTGCTTAGTGCTTTACTTGCATTTTCTTATGCTGGCCTCAGAACTACCCTGTGTGACAGATGTTGGTATTTAAAACTGGAGTTTTAAAGAACAGAACATTTAGGCTTAAGAAGGTTAAATAATTTGCCCCAGGTCAAACAATAACTGAGGAGGTAGTACATGACATCTTCTGTTTTAAGCCAAAATTTAAACCAAAATTCATACTCTTAAAAAACTTCATTGACCTGTTCACCTAGTAAATAAAATACTATTGTTTTTCCACTGATGCATCAATAACTGTAGGGTTCTGTCTGCTAATTTAGATTACCCATTGTTCATAGGCTAGAAACAGGATAAAAGACTGGAACTACTTGAAAGATTGGTTTTCATTTGCTGAGTTGTCAGTATTCTTCATTCTTCCTAGTCTTAAATTTTTTATCTTCTCTGTCATCTGCTCAGAGTTTCTTCTTTGAACAGACAAACCTCCTTCAGCTAATAATAGCCTACTTCTCGGCTGGTCTATCTTGCATCCATTCAGATGTAGGATGGTGTTTTTCCTAATCCTGGCTTCCAATGTGCTGTGCTACCATGGTGGCCCTGAAATCTATGGGGCGGAGGATTAAATCCTCAAACCTCTCCCTTTTCTAACTAGGGAATTCTGTTATACAAAGAAGCTTTGCCTAAGATCTGTCCTGTTGGTTACCTTCACTCGATTTGACCTACATAAAGACCTGAGAGGAAATAACATGTCACACTAAATGGAGTGAGTACATTACAGTAATTCTCAGAATACAAAAAGCTTACAATACATAATATTCTACCTGATGCCCAATTTTTTCCAGGTCCATCTTGTGACCTGATTTTTTCTATAAAATATTCTGTTGATGATAAGCAGAAAAGGAAAGAAAACACTTTGTCTTCCAGGAAAGTCTAGAGGAATAAACATAAGCAGCCAATTCTTCCTTTATTTCCCTACTAACTCCATAGTGACTTTTTGAACGTGAGCAAAGTAATGGATGGATTGTGCACTAGATTTAACATTTAAAATTGTAAAGGTTAAGACTATATTTATACTTTTTGTTCAATGGATTACATAGGTGGTTGGTAAAAGAGCAAGCTATTGGCATAAACAAATTTTAAATCTGGGGTCAAAATCTTAAATGCCTTCAGAGTCCACCCTAAGTGAGTAAAGTAGACTGCTCACTGTGTACCTTTTGGGATTTTGGTGCATGGGAGGGTGAGGTCTGGCCTAAAGAAGGATCTGTCCACGGCACACTCGTCTATGGTTGCCCTGTGGGAATGAAGGCCTACAATTGCCAAGTTTTCTTGTTTTTTAATAGGTTCCAGAATTCAAGATTTTTATATAAATTTCCCCAAATTCTAAAATTTTGGATTAAATTTTAAACACTGCATGGTCCAAACACCTTATCAGTAGGTAGGCTTTGGCCTAATGGCATATATTTGGCCTCCATTCAGATCTGTATCACATGAATGATCAAAACTGAATGTTTGATTTTGAAATCTATTTGGTTATGGGTCAATTATTACCTACAAAATCAGATGAACTTTTGCATTACCTTACTAGCTGAAATGCATCATGAATCAGACCTGTTCTGTCCTTTGGTCTGAGAAGTGTGTGGTTCTGATTCAGCTGTGTAATGAGTTGGTCCCAGCCATGCCCCTCATAGTGAACAATGTAGTAGCCATTTGAGTCCACATTGAATTTCACCCAACTGGTATTTTCAGGTAAATCAAGGGTATCTAGGAGAAGGAGATTGACATAGGCATTTCATCATCAACATACACACCAGGAACATCTCTAAAACTGTTAGTTTCCATACTACTGATTCTAAATTAATGGGAAGACAAAGTCTCGGAAAAGTCATGATGATATTTATTTTCATAGTCTACTGGATGGTTTCTTTGGGAATGATGGTCTTATTAAATTAACAAATAAATTATTTTATAGGAAGACTGCTGAATTTGTTCTCTAAAGCAGTCTGTACTGGTCTACGAGTCATGAAGCATCCAGTGAGCATGATTTTATTATATTATTATTATTATGTTATGATAATATTATGTATTTTTAATATGACAGACATTATACTAGGTGGCAAAAACATTATTATATTCTCTTAATAATTTTGAGACCTACTCACCATTCAAAATAAGATAAAAAAATGGAAGCTCAAGAGGAGTAAAGAAATTTTCCTAAGGTCACATATGTCATGGGATTACAGAGTGAGTATTTAAATTCAGAGCCGATCATTTCCAAAGTGTATGCTTTCCTCCACTATACATTGCTGCCTTGTGGCATAGAGCTGTATTAGTAGGTATTAGGAGACATAAGAGAGGATGCCATCATTTCTTGACATAAATATAAATCTATCTCTAAATACTGAAATCACAAGACAATTTCCCACTGAATGAAAAATTCAGACTTTCTAGGTAATTCATATTTTTAGTAACTAATATATGAATAAATGAGAACTTCCCCAAACATGAATCTTTCATTATTAGATTTACTCACACTATCTTTCCTCCAAATAGCTCAAAACATGTTTAATTTCAGAATTAAAACACTTATTTTAATTAGTTCATTACCTGTCTTTGATTTTAGAACGTGTTTGTGAATCTCATTAGAAGAACTCGTGGAGTAGGTCAGTGGGATATGCCAAAGGTACCTACATTAGAAAACAGACTGTTACAGATGAAATGAATGGCCATTTCAATTTTCGGGTTGTCAGACTCAGATAGGCTATAAAAGGCACCTACTCACTTTATAAATGTTATAGGCTAAGACTAACAGGTATGCAAAAATTCTTCTGTAGTGAAATGAAGGTGCAGCAACATACACCCAGTTGAACTTTGTCATGATTACCTGTTGCATTTGCTGTTGAAATCTCATACCACAACAGGTTCTGCTGATTGTTTCCTTCAAAGTAAGAGAAAGCAAAATCCAGTCTTCCTTTCACACTTTCAGAACCTCTGCCAGCCTTATATTAATTTAAATAACTGAATCAAAGCTGTAGGAAAAGCCTTAAGAGGTAAAGATCTTACTCCAGCATGATTTCTACTTATCCTTTTGTTTAACAAAGCAGTGCACATCCAATCCCCCAACTATTAAGTGACTGTGAAGAAGAGGTCAGCAATGCCACAGTCTAGGATTTGCAGGGCAGCCAGGCCCGGAGAACAGAAAAGCAGAGTTGATTGGAGGCTAGGGCTTCAGTTACTTTTCAATGGCCCTTCTATGGTAATAGAAATTGGCTATTTTTTCTAACTAGCTTTCTAACACCTTCTATAATTCATTTCCCCTATCAAATCAAGCCATATTAGCTTTAAAAATCCTGGACATGTAAAATCATGTGGTTAAAAATACCAACATGCATAAAACAGAAAGAATAATAACTGAGTATACCTACTGGTCCTCAAAAAAATACAAAATAGTGAAAGAAACAACATACACAGACTCCCATCTACTAAAGAGTCAGAAAGGATAATCTACCTGATGAATGTTAGTTCCAGAAGGAAAGGAATTTTTTCCAGATAAATATATCTTGGGAGGAAAGAGAGGGTAAATAGCATTTCATAAGTTTGGATAGGCATGAACAGAGGGTAGTAATTTTATAATAGTAATCTAAATACTGCCTCAGAGGAAAAATACAGATCATTATAATAAATACTTGTTATTTTGGGCCATCCACACTATCGGATAGTGACAAAATGCCACAATCTCCTGTGACATTTTGATTTGTTACAAAATTGTGAGTCCTGCTTTCCCAATAATGAATCTAACATTAAATTTTCCAGGCCATGCATCTTACTACACTGATGGACAGTGACTGCAATGGGGTATGGGTGGGGACTTGATAACATAGGTAAATGTAGTAACCACATAGTTTTTTCATGTGAAACCTTCATAAGAGTATATATCAATAATACCTTAATAAAAAATTTAAAAAATATATTTTCCAGGCCATGTTGCCAAGCTACAAATTGTTTAAGTTCTCTAAAGTTCAGATTTCGGAAGGGCACAGAAAAATGGAAGGATGTGTACATAGAGAAGTGGCATGAAAAATATTGGAAATAGGCAACGGAAGAAACAGAAGGAGAAAACAGTATATTTTATGTGTTAACGACTTCGAATTTGTTTCTGATTCTAAGAAGAATTCTAGAATTGTTATTAAATAGATTCCTAGAAAAGTACTAATCATAAGAGCCAGTGCAGAATCACTTGGATCATTTCATTTTAAATTACCCTTATTCATTTTATTGATATGGCTAATAGATCAGATAAATGTGAACAGTGTTGTGTTCTTGATTTTAGTAAAGTCTTTGATAAGTTTTCTCAGAATAGTTTGGTGAAAAGATAGGTGTGGGTGTGGTCCACTGGATCTGCTTTCATCATCACTAAGAACACCCTGTGTTTAAACACTATATTTTTAGTCTATTGCTGGAAAACAAAAGGCCATGGGAGTATTCACGTTATGATTTATGTTTCCTCTCGTGATAAAACGTATAGCTTCATAGCGCTTCCTAGGTATGGGCCAGTCACACAATTTACCAGGGCCCAGAAATCTAGTACTGAAAAGAGTCAGGGCATATTATAATAGAAATATAACCGATAACCCTCTGGATCAGAACGGAGATTCTAAAGGTGGCAGCAGAACGACTAAGAGCTGCACAACGCAGTCCGGGCCACCGGAAGCTCTTTAAATTTGTTCTCAAGACTAGTTCAGGCCTTTGGTTCCTGTGTCGAAATAGCATCCCACAAAGTTGCCAGAGAAGCTGAAAGAGAGCTAATGAAACAGCGAGCAAACTGAGCGGAGGTAAACTAGGCGAAGAGAAGCAGCCACCTTTCCTGCAGGGCCCGCCACTCAGGGTCCTCGTGGTTAAGTCCCGCCGGGAAGCGCTCCTGCCGCAGGCCGAGTGAACGCCCCTCTTGTTTAACCACCACGAGGGGGAGTCCTTTCTGCAGAGTCCATGTAGTCATCATCTCTTTGACCTCCGTATTTTCTCCCAGGAAAGCCAGCTGAAATGACAAGTGACTTGGGTAACCCGAGACGAAGGAGAGAAACCAGAGAGAGATCAGAAACTAGACCTCCTCTGAGGCCACAAAAAGGCCTGGGAGAGAGAGCGCAGGACTCAGCCTGCAGCCTCAGGGCACCGCAACCTGCCCCACCCCAGGGCTGCTCTTTGCATGTTACCTGAAGAAGCGTGTATGGGGCAGCTGGAGGGGTAACACAGGGCAGGAAAAGCTAAGAGGAGGGCTTGAGACTGGAGCTTCGCTCCTGCTCCCTTTCCAAACAAAAAAAGAAAAAACCGCTTCTCCATTTCAATGGTGGAACCAGGGAAGTGGCTTGGAACAGAAATGTCTGTCTTTAGGGGAGCTTTAAATATTCCAACAGAACAATACTGTAGCAGTGGAGGTCTACTGATTAGAGAACAGAACCTGTAGTTTCCTGGCTTCTAGAACAGACTTCTGATCTCTGGATGATGCTGAATCTTAATTTAGAAACCATAATGTATGGGATTACCATGACTCTTTTAAAAAAAGAGTGCATGTTTTTTTCTCATGATGACTTTCTTTTCTCTCTCCTAAAGTGCTCCACTAACTTCCTAGAAGTAAACAAATAGCAGAGCCTCCAACAAGCCATTCAGTCTCTCCAAACCTAACAACTTGTTTGGTTTGGCATTTTCTAGAGGATGCCAGGGCCACCATAACCACTCAGAGGAATTTTAAGCTGAGTTATTTTTAGCTAGCAGTGGGTTGTGGGAAAGCTGAATTATAACAACAAAAATAATGTAGTAATAGCGTCATCCCCTTAAATGGCCTGAACATTCCTTCCCTGGTCAGTTTTGTTTCAAGGAAAAATGTGAGTCTGTCTTCCTGTCCAGTTATTTAAAGGGACAGTGGGGCTATGGCCACCCTCACTCCCGGTCAGGTGACACACCAGGTCTCTGCTGCTGTGAGGCTCTTAACTGTGTGGCTTGTCGTCTTGCAATCGGAGTGACAAAACCTGCCAGATGTAAAATCATGTTCTAAACAACTCTGTAAAATAAGAATGAAAGAGCACTGCCTTCTGGGCACTGATAGTTGGCTGAATATATATATTCGACATGAAGGCAGACATTTATTGGCATAACTACATGACTGCTATGCTCATTGCCAAGTCTAAATAAACTAAAGTTTTCTGAAGCAGTGCAACACGGCAGAGTAACTGTTTTATGAATTCATTTGTTGAGTTTGCCTCTCATTTAGTCTCTTTCCCCCGGAAAGGTCCTACTTTATTCTGTTACCATGCATGTTACTCATGCCTCTACTGAGCATTTAGGCAACGGTGTCCAGGGTTGGTTGTGTCCTATCATATAGTAAATTCCTTGAGAGTGGGAAGACACCTTTGCTTGTGTGGGTATTCCCAGTGACTACCACGATAGCATATAGTGGCTGCACAATACATTTTGAATTCAGAATTGAAATGAAACCTAAGAAAAACACCCACTCTGCCACAAACCTTTATTAATCATGATTATAGACTCAATAGCATGCTAAGTGCCATGACATTTAAAAAAGGAACCGACATGATTATTGCTCCTAAGCAAACTTTATTATTATTATCATTGTTATTATTGACTCAATAGAAACTAATAAAAGAAAACATCACTGTGTGGAACAGATGCATAAAGGCACTTCTAGGTGTTTAGCAGAAAGGCAAACCAAAGAGGGCTGGAGCCGTCGGTAAGGAGGAGGTGACATCTCTGCTAGGTCTCAATAAATGGAGAGTATTTGAATTGTGGGGAAGAGGAAAGTTCATCTAGGTAGCAAGGACCCTAGAAGCAAAGGCATGATGATATAATGATTGAGCAAGATTTCTTCCTATGAGGGGAGATGTGTCTCACTCAACAGAGAATAATTGTTGAAAATAAAATTGAGCAAGTAGAGTTCAACCTTAAAATTTGGATAGAGAAGACTAGGTATTATATGGCAAGAATTGCAAAGTCATTAAATATTTTGGGAAATGGGAAGAATAGACGTGTAGGGTTTTTAGAAGGAAAATCAAAGAGAGGGAGGCCCAATATCAAACTTGTGTACTGACCCAGGTGGCACCCGGGGTTAGTGTGGTGCCAGAGGAGAAAGGAAGTGCTGCCTCCTATGGGCCCCTGCACTGGGGCAAGGGGAATACATATCTGCTGGCTGACCATGTAACTATTTATAAACCTCCTTAACTAGCCTGTCACTTTGTAGGATTGACTATAGCTACTATAACCCAAAATATGACTTACATTTGACAGACTGCTCCACAAATCATCATTCTTAGCATTTCCATAGCTAAACTTCTTTAAGTAGTGAATAATTCCTTTCTGGAATTTCTCTGCACTCAGAAAATTCTTGAGCATATTCAAAATACAAGCTCCCTAAAAAAAAAGAGAGAGAAAACAAACAAACAAAAAGAGGTTAAAATTAAAGGTAGTATGATGTGTTTCGAATAGAAGTTTAAACTTTTTGAAACATGTGGAGAAATGAAGAGGTGGCAGTAAGTGGCACCAAGAATTGAAACTACGGATCTTATGGGCCTCGTTATACTTCTCATGCAAGCAGAGCTTCTGCTTGTTCACAGCATTTACTACCTTGTTATAGGAAACTGCATCAAACATTTCCTGTATTTGTGTGGGAGTTTCTGCTTGATTGGAGATAGGACGGGATGAACTTAATGCATCTTTTTGAATGACTTCAAAACACAAATCCAAAAATTTGTCATCCTAAACAAGGGAAAAAATTTTCTCAATTTAGTTTGACATTCTTAAAGCAATAGAAGACACACTAGGTTTACGTAGAAGTATCAATCACTATTTCTTATAATTCATCATAAGTTTCTTTGCCATTATATACCCTTTCACCAGTTCTGAATTCATAGAGGTGTAAATTCCAACATTCCCTCAGACATTGCAGGAATGTTTGCTATGTACCAAACCCTTAAATACAGAAATAAAACTAATGGTTCCCAGTTAGTGAACACTTGCTATGTGCCAGGACCTTACATCCGTCATCTGATATCCTTTCAATACACTGTGAAGAAGATGGATTATATGCACTTTACAAGTGAGAACATATGAAGCTTTGGGATAAACCATGGATTCAGCACAGAGCAAATAAAAAGACACTGACTTTGAATCCATGTCTGTCTATACTGTACTGGACTAAGCACGTACTTTAAAGAGCTTACTAACCTTTACAAACCACCTTGATGTATAGTGTCCAGACCCCTGTAAGCTATGTTTGAAGAAATCTTTTCACACATTTTGGGGAAGTGAATAGGTCCTTCGGAAATTCTAGAGGAGTGTGCTCCCAGGCATGGCCATTTCAAGTCACATGCCAAGAATTCTGTACAGGATCGATAGCCATGGGCATTGTCCTGTCCTCTGTCATTGCATATGGACAGTGACAACCTTTTCTCTCACCCCCACACACAGCTGTGTATCTGTGCTATTTGAGTTCTCTGTCCACAGATTTTTGGGTAAGGAAGGGATTTCTGTTACAGGCTGAATTGTATCCTCCTACCCAATGCATATGTTGAAGTCTTCACCTCCAGGACCTCAGAATATGTCTGTATTTGGACATAAAACGTTTAACGAGGGGATTGAGTTAAAAGGAGGGTAAGCCCTGACCCAATTTGATTGGTTTCTTTATAAGAGAGGAAATTTGGACACACTGGAGAAAACGGAGAGGCAAGGCCACATGAGGACACAGGGGAAGGAGGTCATCACAAGCAAGGGCAGAGGCCTCAGGAGAAACCCAGCCTGCCCACACCTTGGTCCTGGACTTCTGGGCTCCAGAACTGAGAAAACAAATTTCTGTTGTTAAAGCCACCATATCTGTGGTATTTTGTCATGGCAGCTCTAGAAAACTAATATAATCTTTTTCATATATCAATAAAACACCACAGGTTCAAAACCACAATGCTATATTGTTTTCTTTTAAGCATTCATAGAAGTTTTTAACAGTAAATTGATGACTCCTTAGGGCATATGGTATGACATAAAAACTGTGAACTTACAAATTGTAGCTCTGGATATGTAGCATTAACAGAGATCAATGCCATGTAATTTGCAAAACCCTCTTTGAGCCAAAGATCATCCCACCATTCCATTGTAACCAGGTTGCCAAACCACTAGGAGGTAAAACTCAATGTTATTAGAAGTTAAACAACTATATAAAAATGGTTAGTTGTAGCGAAAAATAGAATGGTGTTAATTTTTCTTTTATTAGGTAAGCCCTTTCCTCTATTTTGCTATCCTTTTCTCTTTGCACACCTTTCTTCTACTGATTTCCCTTTCTTCTCTTCTTACATCATCATATTTTTGCCTGCTTCACTTTTCTTTCTTATGTGTCCCAATTGCCCCCAACTCTCCAACTTCCCTTCTATTCTCTTAGCATTTCCTAGCTATTAGGTTTAATATTAAGAAAATGAAATATGAAATATTTTGTGTGGGTTAATATTTCTTTCTTGCAAAACAAGTATAATTTCACCTTGTGCTTGATTTATGGTGATGATCTGAAGAGAACTAGAAGCCAAAATATCCTTGGTGAAGTCACTTTTTTATATTAAAGCAGCAGGCACTTAAGAGGATCATAAGAATTCATTTAGGACTCTCAGATTGTTACATAATATTACTGATGAGCAAATGTAGTTGTTAAACTCTGCCTTTACTAACTTCCAGGGATTGGCTTGGCCTCTAAAGTGAATAAAGGTCTGAGGTTTTAAATAATATATAATAAAAAGTATGCACAAAGGCAATCAAAATGGAAATTACCCTTGACTTACATTAGATTTTTAACAACAGTCTTAAATATTAGTATTTTTCATGTACTTTTTATATATCATTTGTTTATTTAGTGTATATGATCAATACTGGGCATCCAGTTTATCTATCTTAGAATTGCAATATCCAGAAGGATGGGAAATTACACAAAAAGATTCTAAGATTTGGAAGAACCTTGTTATAATTATATAACAAAATAGCTAGACCTTTTGCTTGTAGAAACCATTTTAAGCTCTATTCCTTTTCTGACAATGCTCAGATCATTTTTAGCAAGTGGGCACCAATCTTGCCAAGGGCAGCTGTGAAAGGGGATGGGAGGTGATGAATATGAGAAATACAGGTTGAACTGATTCTGGTTACTTCACCAGTTAGTAAGAGTGGCTTATTCATTCACTCAGTAAATGTCTATTGAGAAGCTACTATGTTCCTAGCACCATGACATGTATCAGAAATATCAAGATGTATATAATACAACTTCTGCCTCAATACAAATGATTGAGGCTGGCCTATAGAGATAAATGCAATAAAGCATTGCTGGTGCTGTGATCATTGTCTGTACAAGGGAAAGAAAGGATTCCAGGAGGAAAGAATCAGTTCTGCTGGGAGAGTGTGTAGCATAGCTAGGAAATGGTTCATTTCCTGAGTCTTGTAAGTGGTCCTCAGGTATGTTAGGAGTGGTCTGCTCTAAACAGATCAGGTAGCAAGAGCAAATGCATAGAGGAGTCACACGACCTGGCATGCTTAGGAAATGGCAGGTAGTCTGGGATTGTTAAAGCTTAGAGTGCTGGTAAGAGATGAAGCTGAAGAGGTGGAGATGGGCTCTATCATAGGGCTTGGTGTGCCGGTCTATGGACTCTTGACTCACCCAGATGACACTGGGAGCCTTTTCCAGGGCTTTATGTGGAGGAGTAACATGGACATGTGGAAATCAATGGAGAGACAAAACAGTTAAGGCAAAAATTCCAAAGCTGCCTGTAGCTTCAGCCTTAGATTTTGAGTCTCTAAGAAGAGGCAGCTATTAAAGGAAGGCCCAGAGGGAGCACGGAGCCTCAGAGGTAGCATTCTCCCACCATTTCCTTATGAACAGTGGGTGGAAAGATGAGAAATCCCCAGACTCAGTTAAGTGCTTTCGAGCTATCAGTGACTAATTATCAAAACCCCTAAGATGGGCCAGTGGGGAGATTCTAAACCAGAGGAAGATACCTGTATGTTCTCAAAGTACAGTGCTGAGCATGGCTACTTTATGTAATTGGGATGAAGTTAAAAATTATAAGGAAGAGATATTATTACCAGCTTTCATGATGGAATGATATTGCCTACATAGGGAAAGAGAATTTCTGGAGTCCTTAATAATTTACTGTATTCTTGAGGATTTTCAGAAATGAAATAGAGTAGAAATAGTCTCATATCTATAGAGCTAAGACTGCAGTTTCATATCTGTATGTAATTCAGTGTTGATAGATGGGCCTTGGAAATCTTATTCTGTAAGAAATGGTAGCAGTCGCAATGGTCATTGTTGCCACATTTATTACTAACATTGAGCACCTACTATATGACAGGAACTGACACTTAGCTGTAATTCTCACAACAGTTTCAAGAACCAGGAACTATTATTAATTTAATTTTATAGATGAAGACACTGAAGTTTAGAGAATTAGGTTCTGTGTCCAGGGTCAACAGTCCATGAGTACTTGGGCTTGATGTACTTCTTTATGGCCATATAATCATAGGTTCCAACTGAAGGGAGATTGATTTTGTCCTAGATTGGAATGCCACAGTTCTACAGGTTATAAGGAAAAATCTATTTTAAAAAAATCTCTATTAGGGTTTCCAGTTCTGTGTTCTATGTATCTGCCTAGTCCCTACCATTCTTCACTAAAAGGCATTTGAAGTCTTGGCCTTGAAGGATTTTAGAGGCTATAATGACCACCTGTGATAAAATTCCTTGATGAGTCCTATAATTCCTCTGCTCCTTGACATATTGTTTGGTTTGACAATCCCTAAATTCCTCTCTAGAGGTAAAATGAGAAAATGTTATGTTATTTCAGGAAGACTGGAGTTACTACATGTAATCTCTTCTGGACTGATATTAAGAGCATGTCATGAATACCAGGTACCTGATCTGCTAGTTCATGGGCTATGACCCTGGTGATCCACAGTTTATCAGAAATGGAAGAGGTCTTGGGATCAAAGAGCAATGATGTCTCTCTGTATGTGATGAGGCCCCAATTTTCCATGGTTCCGGATATAAAGTCAGGAATGACAACAAGGTCTAAGAAATAAGAACAGCCACACTGGATCATTATGGCTTTCACACAAAAAGTGTGATTTGCTTCCCCAGCAAATACTTTGTGATCCTTTTAGCATGTATAAGGAGACTTTCTGAAAACATCAAGAATATCTTAACATTGACACATGTGCCTTGTAGTTGCACAGAAAACAATCAGTACCCATTTTCAAGCAAAATTAATTCTATTAATACAATTTTGGTTGTAGCAGAAGTAATTTATTGACATTTAACCATTTTCTAAAAAAGTGCTGAACTCTGAAAATACCTTGTATGCATTACTACCATGAAAAAATTTATTTAAAGACATTCATGTTGTACTTTATATTAATATAACTGAAAAACTTTGATAATAAGTTTTCAAATAATTTCTACTATGTTTGAGATTCATCAAAACATACACTAAACTCACTTCTACAAAAAAAGTAAAGATACAGGATTTTAATTTCAGGAGAACACTTTTTAGGAGCAATCTGTATTGTCCATATTTCAACTAATATTCCAACATGTTTGATCTCTATTAAGAGCAATTGTCCTTCTAAGGCAGGAGAGGAAAAAAACTGTGCGCATCAATTCTTTATGACCTTGATTTCCTTTTCAACATTGATATTTCTTCTGCTTCCTAACATAGTCTTATGGGAAAAAAGTGAAATTTAATCATTTTGAAGCAACTCAAGTGTAATGTGTATTAAGTTATATTTTATCTATGTGTCTGTAGTATGTCTATGTATATCCTTTGTCAATGACTTTATTAAGTTCAACAATTTCTGGATAATAGCTAATCTTTGGATTCTTCCTTTTTATTTTTCCAGGCCATTTTGGAAGAAACACCACTTGGCTAAAAAGGAAGGTAATTTTTTTTAAAGTTTGAATGAACCAAGTCACTTGGCTTGTAATTACATCGTCTGGGATTAACTCCAGTGGATAAAAACAAATATTTGTAACACAATCAAAACACAAATTATCATTTAAAAAGACTAGTATTCATTAACACTTCAAATGGGAATGACTCCTTTTCTAAACTGCATTGATGATTTTATATTAGTTGGATTATTTCCCATAGCCATTAGAAATGCTTTTATCTGCTCTATTTTTTCTTAAGCTGCATGCTTCTTGTCAGTTAGTTCTAAAATACGTTTCATATGACTTCCCAGGTTGCATTTTTCAAGAACAATAAAAGATTGTTGATGGCTGTTATTTGATCATTCCTCACTCAACTTTTGACATAGAGGGCAGAAAGGATTATGGGTAAACTGAATTTAGTATATCTGCACTAAAGGGCATATAGAACCTGCACTATAAAAATATACTGAGACTCAGCAGCTCTAGGAATAAGCCCCTGGACATGCCCTTTGAGAGTCTTTTAACTTCTCTAAGAAAAACTTAGGGATTGGGGGGTAAAGAACGGGGAGGATATGATGTGTATGCATGACCTAATGTCCCAATGGAAAAAAACATGTTTTGTGACTCTCAGAAACTCTAAGAACTAATCTATGTAAGTTATAAAACTTAAGGCATGGTTTCTATATGTTCTGTAGCTTTATAAAAATCACAACTTTTTTTTTAAGATAGAAAATTAAAACCTAGATAGAGTATGTATATCTTATATAAAGATCTACTACTACCACATTCAAATTATCTATATCCTCCAAATCTCTCTTTAAATCTGGGCCACATTCTCATCTTTCAACCTCAAATGTTTATAGGTAGCAATTTCCAACTGTTTATGTAAACCTTTGGCAACTTTTATAAAAGATTTCTGGTCTTGTACAAATATGGTTTAGAAAAAAAATGTATGTGCTAGAAAATTCATCCAGTTAAATCAACAGACAATACAGCTATTCCAATTTTAATCCTGATAAAAGAATAGAAAAATGATCCATGTTTCTTGGGCTTCTCATAAATACTTTATTTTCTACAGTCAAGGATCATTCTCTAAGATACAAATTATTTTTTCCTGGGCAGCTGAACCTCTTTGTTGCTCACTTAAATCACATATCAAGAGGGGAAAAAATCAAAGAAAGTTCTATAAGTAAAAATAAAGGCAATGACATGTAATTTGAACCTACCCAGTTTTGGGAGTGGGTAGTTTATATCAAAGTAATTTTCATAAAAATCAAGTAGCTTCATCGATGTTTCCAAAGCATAATGCATTTGACTCCATTTGTCTGGGGCTGTATAGATGGACACCTGGGAAATATTGATCAGAAGAAGTGGTCTTTGAGTGATAGCTCTTTGGCACAATTCCATTGGTAACAACCTCACCCAAGGAAAGGCAGACTGCTTTTTTCAGGCAATTATTGAGATACCATTAAACAAGTTGATAGGGGATGAGATATTTTGTAAAGTATTATAGCAAAAGCCAGTCTTGAAAATTATAAACAACCCTGCATCTTCTGTTATAATCTACTGCCTAGGTGCTAATCTGTACATTTCAAGCTGTGTCAACCCACTCTACCATGACAGCCCACTTGAGCTCATCACTCTCATGTACTCTAGCACTGGAGAACCAGCCTTCCAAAATTATGACCACCAATGCAATTCAAATAAAACAGTTCTGTGAGGTGGGAAAACCTTCAAAAACTTACTGGAGTTTCTTCAAACTCAGAAATGCCTCAACATGTTCATTGACTTCCTCCCAGTAACTAGCCATTAAATGGAAAAAATAAAATAAAATTCCACTTTTCTTGAGTTTTAGGTATAGTGCTACTTTCATTTCATGATCTGCTTTCATGTTCTGAATTAACTGAACTCTCTCAGAACTTTTATAGGAGGGATATATTAATGGCTGCCATTTTTTGATAGCTTACCAGGCACTATGCTAAATGCATACACGCAAATTCCAATTTAATCCTCTCAAGAACCTTATGAAATAGGTATAATTATCATATTTGAGAGATGAAGCAATGGAAACACATGGAGATTAAGCAACTTCCTTCAAGTCACCCATGTAGAAAATTGTAGAGCTTAGAAGTGAATCTAAGAAGGCTGTCCTCTGAAGAAAAGTGCCATCTGACCTCTCACACATCTATGCCAAATATATATACGTGCAGAGATGCTATGATACATATATAGATATATTGCTCACAATATATATATCCACATATCCATAGGTATAACATGTATATAAATTAAAATAGCCATTTTAGCTGTTTTTCACAGCATTATTTTATAGTTTTTTGAAAAAGTTTTTATGTCTATCATTTGTTTCCTCAGCAAGGATTTCCTTTTTATTTTTAATGTCTCCATTGATGTTTGCAAAACTTTATGATAATCACTGGGTATTATAAATTTTTGCAAAACTGAAGACTCTAAAAATTATGAAGACCTCCTTTTATCAAGAGAAAAATATATAGAAAACAATCGGTAACAATGTGAACATCCTAAAACAAGATTCTGATTTAAAAAATCATTTTGGTACCATGAAATATAATTGTAGTATAACCACCATGCAATTATTAACATTATATTATAGAAAAGTATTTAATGACATTCAATTTTATGGCATATTTTGGCTAAATTGAGGTAAGATAGTCTAGCTTATTTTTTAAAGGGTATGTGTATATATACTATTATACTGTGTGTTTTACTATTATGTATTTATGTTACATATTTTATATGTTATATATTTATGCTACTGTATACACTGTTATACTGACATACGTATAGAAAATATTTGGAAGGCTTACACTAATATTATCAGTAATTATATCTTGGTGATAGGATTATGAGTAATTTCTTTTATTTTTTACCTGTCTCTATTTTATAAATACAAAAAAGCATGATACTTCAATAATAAGGAAAAAAAATTAAGAAAATAAAGTAAAAACTCAGTGCATGAAATTAGAACTCATTCTCACCTTGACCCCTGATGAGGTTGTGCCACTCACAGACTTGAAATCACAAACTATGTAGGCTACAAGGTATGTACTCATTTTTACAGTAGTTTCAAAATGATCTTCCAAGAGGCCTCCTTCAAGTTCAATCATCTTTACCTGAAATGAGAAAAGAATCAGTATTTGAAAACTGGAGTATTTTACAACAATGCCTATAACTTGAGCCAAGTAAGTTAGAGGAAAGTCTGACACTCTGAAAGACACTTGACGTCCTTAGAGGAAGGAGATCTATGGCCTCTCATAACAATCTGTGGTCTCTCCTCCCTTTAGTTCTTTTATCCTGGACAGCCTTGAAGATACAGTGCTTTACTTTTGGGATCCCAGAACGATGTCAAATCTTACTTCGTTGCGTGAAAGTGTAAAAGCATCTTAAATGCCTCTACCTTCTTGAAATGCAATTATTTCCAACATTGGCTTAGATTCCAGTTCTGCATTTCTAAGCAAAAAATACCAGAGAACGGTCCCTTTCTCTTTGCTTGTTATATAATAAATCTCTGTTGCAGAAAGAAATAGGAAGCAAAACTTGCTTTGCATTATCTTTCTATCCTCTCATTTCTGTGTGAGGTAGGTGTGATTTCACAGGTGAGGAAACAGAATCTCAGAAATGTTAACTGAATTGCCCAAGATCACAAGTTTAGTTCCACGGCAAGACCGAGATGTGGATGTGACTGTGTGACTTCAAAGACATTGCTCATTCTTTCCCTCGCTGTATGACAGCTTGAGTCATAGTCTTATTTTATCTTTGCTTCATTGATCCAGCAATGAAAGCAGTCAGGCCAAGGAGGGCATTAGTAATTTAAGCCTCTGCCTAGCTACTGAGGAAGCAAAAAGTTTTAATCCTACAGACTGGTCAGCCACATCCATCAAATTCCCTGAGTAATTACTGAATTCTATCTTCATTTGCTCTGGATAGCTTGTCCCAGAGATGGTCTCTACAATGGTACAATGTCCCTAAATATTGAATGGATACAGATCCAGTAATCTGAAAATACCATTTTCTTCAAAGCGGTAACAACACTTAGACTAGTTTGTCCCCCACCCCCACCTCCTCCAAGGCATCAGGCTTGTGGCCACCAGGGCTTACCGAGCATGTTTTACGTGCGTGGATGAGATTGCAGTTTGCTCTAGTGAGAGAAAATGGCTTGAAGTATTACAATAAACTGCCTAGCCTACTTCAATGATAAAGGTCTGTGCTATTAAATTCCACAGAATTATATAAAAATCATCAATTAGTAAGTTCCAGTAAAGCAGAAGACACTGCCCTAAAGAAAAGCAGCAGCATGTTCGGGGCTGTGATTTTCACCTCAACAAGCAAGTTAATTTTTCCCCAAAACAATCTCTTTTTTAGGAGTCTGTATCAACCTGACTTCTCTAGGTACATACTCCGAGCAGAAGAGAGGGTCATGGAGGGAGAGGGTGTATGATTTGTAGTCTTCTGACCAAACTCGGCAGCAAATCACTTAGCCAAGTGTGTGGAGGAGGGAGAGGAGGAGGTCAGCCTGCGGGATGCTGGGGAAATGAGTCTGTGACACAGACCGCAGGTAGATGAGATGGTTAAGAGACAAATGAGCATCCCTGTGATTTCTGCCCACAGATGAAGATGTGGCCCGTGGAGGCTGAGTTTTGTTCAGGAACTTGAAGTGACCCATGCAGACCAACACTGGCTTAAATGGAAATGTATAGGGTGTTGATGGCAGTTCTTCCAAAATGGTGATATAAGCTCCAAGTATAAAACACTTGTTGCTAGACAGGAATTTAGCTATTTTCTCAATATTGGCAGGACTCTACTTGCATGACAAGTGTCACCAGCAGGTGTGTGCTATCTCCAGGAATGAAGGGGGGAAATGCCCAAAAGACGTGCTGCCTGTACTCCTGCTTGGCTGGCCACCTCACTGCCCTGAAATCTTGTATTCTTAACTAAACAAATGGAGAACTTAGAGTTGCTTCTTCCCAGCAGTCCAAAAGCAATCGGAAGTGCTGCAGTTATTATCCAGAGAGTACGGTTGTGGCATAACTTCAGCTCTCCTTTTTCGGCTAACCCTGAAAGCTGGGTTGGGCATGTCAATAGGAAGCAGAAAGTTAAGTCAATATTTGCTGAAAAAGGCATGATCCCAAGAACTGGTCAACTGAGGCAATGCAGATATTCAAGGGCATATACAATGCCTTAAACTTATTTTTCTTAAATGGGAGAATGTACTGGAGGTTTCTAAATACAGAAAATTAAAATTCTAATATAATGAAGTGGCAATTCATGTTTACATCATATTTTAATTAAAAACTTAATAATTTACTAACTGTATTATTACTTTACCCTCCATGATTATTCATATTTCAGAAAAATTACACTAATAGAAAGCTGCCAGAAAGGGAACAAACTATCCTTAAATGAGTAATCAGTTAGAAAGAGTACTTGGAGTTAAACAGATCATTTTTTCCTGAGAATGAGTAGGCTGATTAAATTACTGTCTGTCTGATCATGGAAAAACTGGTGAGTATGTGTTACATGGAGTGTTGTTACTTTTCCTCTTGATCTGCTTAGCCAGTATTTCAGAGTGGATACCTTTTCTAGCATTAAATATGAACCTAGGGAAGTTCAGTGTCTAGCTTATCAACTCATTTCCCCCTCCATCCATAGAGGCCAGCCACTGAGAGGGTAGAGGGGAAAGTGGGCAAGGGCTGAAGCGCTGTCAGGAGAGCCTCTATTTTGTCCTACTTTCCAAGCAGCAGTGGGGAAATGTTCTGCATTTTTTTCATCTGCATAACCGGCATTACATCATGAGTGAGGAAATAGCGAATGAAGCTAAGGTCTTCTGTATCTCTCAGAGACTCTGCATTTTGAGTAGAAATGTGAGCCAATTAAGTGTTAGAGGTCTTTTTCAATTAAAAAGGGTATAATTACAGTAAATAGTTTTCATAAGTAATTTTAAGAACCACAGAATAATTTGGAAGTTAAAAAAAAAAGGATTTCTAAGTCCTGTCACAGACTCCTAGATCAGAATTTCCAGGTGGGGCCCAGGCAGGGGTCTCTAGATCCTTACCATGCCCAGTGTGGTCTCCAATGGTGGTATCACCTGGGGGTTTGTTTGAAAGGTGGAATTTTGAGATTCACTCCAAGACTGACCTGATCAGAATCTAAATTTTAAGAAGATCCTCAGACAATTAATCTGACCATAAAAATTTGAGATTGCTGCTCTAGGTGATTCTGAATTTCATTGCTGGCCCAGTAACACTGCTTTAAAAGAAAATTGTTTCCATATGAACAAAAATAAAAATAAATCACTCTGTTAAAAGAAAAAAACTTCTGGTGTAACAATACCTCAAATAGAATCATGTTAAAATCTAGGAGGATTGGGGTTATTATAAAATTTGTAGATGGATAAAACAAATTAATGGCTTTAAGTCTGAAAACAATGGAAATATCTTTTAAAAACAACACAACTAAGGTTCAACTTAAGAACAATTCCCTGAAGTTTCTGGAAGTGGCAATACCTTTGGCATGTTGGATAGTGCAATGTGTCCTCTCTCTCTTCTTATCTTGATTGAAAAGTTGGTTTTAAACAATGGTTCATCAAAACAAGGGAAAGCCATTCGTGCTTTGGTTGGCTCAAAATCTGTTACTACAATTATCCTGTGAAATGAAGAACCCGCCAGCCAGAACATAGAAGTGAAATCAAGGAGAGAATTTCATGTAAAACTTCAGAACACAGCTTATCAAACCTGGAGATGATATATTTGATTTCTTAAACTATAATCTTAGTGAATCCAGTATCTCTTTCTGAAAAAAAATGAGGGTAAAATTTTGTTTAGTAGCTGCCAATCATAAATAAGGCACAATGCTACTTATGTGATCTTCTTGGTACTCATGGCAGATGAGAATAATGAGACTTAGAGCATTTCAGTGACCTTGCTAGGATACTTAGCTAGGAAATGCCTTAGCTGGGATAGGCATGCCCAGTCAATTTGGCATCATCAAAGTTGGCTAGGAAATTAGCAGTTCAGTCCTATCTCTAAACTGGAGGTGGCCTCAATCAGACATTTGAATACTTGTATGTTTGAGTGGTGTCTTAGGTTGTGTTCTGAGAAAACAGACCCTGATCTATTAAGAACATGCTGCCCTGAGAAACAGGTAAGAGAGTGAGGGAAACAGGACAGGGAAGAGGAAGAAGCTAGGCCAGACCCCAGCTTCAGCCTGATTGCCAGGAGCTCTGGAATGGAGCTATCCCTTCAACTTTCCCCTCTCCTGGAAGCAAGGAGCTGGGCTTTCATATTCTAGTACCACCTTTGCAAAGGGGCTCCATGCGGGACCTGAGTCCCCAGACACTTCCAGTTCTCTCTGCTTGCGGGCAAAGCAGCTCCAGTCCTCAGAGTGTAACAGGTAGGTAGATACTCTGACAAATTTCTATATCCCATCACCTTGATAATGCTTGAAATTACATAATTACAGATTTTTTCCTTTGGACTTAAAGCCTCAGTTAAGAAGGAAATCTGGAGAGCAGATTTTGATTGGAGAAGGAAGGAAAAATAGTAAAAGTCCAGGGTCAGATAAAGCGTAAGGAGTTGCCAGGGCCAGGAGGGAAAAAAGAGGTGCTGTCAGGATAATTTTGCCTCAGTTTACTTTGTTTCTGTACTGCAGACTAAAAGTGAGAATGGGAATCTAAGTGATTTGGGACCTCAGGATTTCACTTGGTTTTGGTAGCAGGTACTAAAATGTAAAGGAGTTCCAAGTGCCTGGAATAATTTTCACTAATGTGAAATTTTTGTTATAGAAAGTCTATATGGGGAAAGCAAAAATCTAAGATTTTCTCTGCTGCTTACACAATTTTAGTTCTGCATGCAAAGTAGTGACTTCCTGCTCCTCAAAGAACTATTGTTTTATTATTTTACTGGATTACTTTTATACTTTAGGTTAAATTGAACATGTGTGAGTGTATGAGTGAGAGAGAAAGATCTGTAATATTCTGTTGACATTGTCTGCAAATCATTCTGCCTGTTAGACCTACTAGTTGACTGAATAGGAAGAGAACTAATTAGTCGTAAGAGTCAGAAATTGCCTGAAGTTGACTATAGAGGCATATTGGGAAGTGCTAAACTCTCACTACAAAAAATCACCCCCTCTAGTATTCTACATCTCCCAAAATGACATCCTAAAAAAATATTTCCTTTGGGTGAAGTACCCTTGAAAAAATGAAAAAAGCCATCACTGGTCTCCTGGTGCCTTAGTGAGAAGTTGATAAATTTCCTAACAGATACTGTGCAGAACCTGAGAACAGGCTCCTGAGAACTGAAGCTGCAATGGGGGAAGTGTCCCCAAGGGGAGAGCTGTCCTAAGTGGGCTGCTAGGGGGCTGCAGGCTGGACACGAGAGTCGCCAGGAGGCAGTGAACTCCTAAGCCAGGGAAGGCAGGCAGAGGTATGCAGCAGACACTGCTGATCCTAGTTAGGGCTGAATTACCCATTCCCCTTTCTCCATTCCAATGGTTTTATTCAGGAAGGCAATGTGTCAGATACAAGAATCACTTTTTCAGGTTCCCCTGCAACTTAGGGTGTCTGACTCATTCTGGCCTGGTGAAAGTCCTTGGGTTGGAAAGCTTTGTAAAACACGTCAGATTCAGCTAGCATGTTTCTTTTGGCCTTTTTCTTCCCCTATTTTCTCCTTCTTTCTACCTGGACTATGGAATTGATGTTCTGAGGTGCAGAAATGATTTTGAATTAGGAGGAAAACCATATTCCAACAGTGGCTGAGCAGAAAGATAGAAAGGGCCTGGGTCCTGGCTAGCCCTGACGAGCACTCTAGCAAACCTGGGCTGTCCTACTCCTGGAATCCTTGTTGCATAAGAAAAATACCCACTATGTGGTCAAGCCATTGCATGTGGGTTTCTTTAACTGGTGATTGAATGCAACTGATAAAAGATGGGGGAGCACTGAGACCAGACTCCTCTTCCCTCCCAGATGGGCTCTGGCCCTGGACAGCCAATCATCCAGTCTAGGAAGCATCCTGATTCCTCTCTTTTTCTCACTTCATAGAACCAATATGTCGGCAAATTTTGTCCAAAACAAAAGCCAATTTCAGTCACTTCTCTTCAGAGGCACTGCCACTAGCCTGGCTCAAGCCGCCATCATTTCTTGCCTGAATTACTACAGTGACCTCCTAAATGATCTTGCTCCTACTTTTTCCTCTCTCTATGTACTCTCAACATACACTCAGTCTCTGTAAAGCATACAGCAGATCCGAACCTTCCAACGACTTCCCATTGCACTGAAATGAAAAGCCTAAACTGGTGGTTGCCATAGGGGAGGAGGATGAGGGGAATGGGTGAAATAAGTGAAGGGGGAAAAATTAGTGAGAATGTTTTAATATCTTAATCTAGGCAATGGTTACATGAGTGTGTACACATGTTGAAACTCATCAAGCTATACATTAAGATTTGTACATTTATTGTATATACCTCAATATTAAAAAATTTAAATATTGCAAAAGATTTCAATTTCCGGTTGTTTCTGCAAGTATATAGAAATACAATACGTTTTAATATATTGCTCTTCTATATTGTAACATTGTTGAACGGATTTATAAACCTGCTAGCTCTTTTGTAGATTCTCAGATTCTACAAAGATAATCATGTTGTCTGTGAATAAAGACAGTTTTATTTATTCCTTTCCAAACAAAAAAAGAAAGCCTGAACCCCTTAAAAGAGGCTGTAAGTCTCTGCAGATCTGACCCCTTTCTACCCTGCCTCTCGCCTTTGTCACTCTCTGCAAGCTGCACTGGTGAATCAGTCCCACCTTAGAGCCTTTGCACTTGCTGTTCCCTTTTCTGAGGCACTTTGTTTTTAAGATGTACTCATGATTTTCTCCTTTTTTTAAAAAAACAATCAGGTCTCAACTGAAATGCACCTCTTTGCCAAGGACTTCCCTGACCACTCAGAAAAACTAGTCCCAATCCCCAGCTACACTGACTTTCCGTTACAGCACCTTGTTTTATTTCCTTCATAACATTTGTCACTTACCTTGTACATCTAATTTATTTTCTTGTCCTGGTTGTCTCTTCCCACATATCTCACCACTATACATTTAGTGCCTGGAACAGTGCCTGGCACATAGCATGTGCTCAATAAACATGAGCTGATCAAATAGACTGTATTTCTCAATTCTCCAAACAGACTTGCTCCTGCCTCCTAGATTTGAGTCGTGCCATTTCCTGGGTAATGTACACACTCTCATCTCCTCTATCCCAACCCAAATCTCCCTTGTTTCTTTCTGGCCCCTCACTTCCTTTGAAATCAACACTCACCTCCTTCGAGAAGCCTTCCCTATTTCAGCTCTTTCTGCACTGACCATCCTCTCCAACAGCACATAAGCTGTTATCACAGACACACATTGATCCTTCCAAGTTTTTCATCCTCCAGTGTTTACATCTCTGCATTCTCCCCCACAATCTTCCCACATTGACTGTCATTTCCTTAAGGAATGGGAGAACTGCTTCCAAGTTTCCCACAGTTGATTGGGCTTTTCATAAATAAGTGCTTGAAGCATGCTCTTAGCAAAGAGATGTAACCCATAAGGAAAGTGTCACAAGAGACAATAAACAGCTGGAACATCTTACCTTGTTTCATCACCTTGAGTTCAGTACATGCTTTTATAAAACCTTTTAAAATCATCAGCTAACTTGGCCTGGAAGTCAATAGCCACGTAGTATCTCAGGTCAGCTGTAAGTTTCTCAGGAACCAGCAGTGCAATTTGTTGATGAACAGGATAACTCAAAACATTCCATTTTTTCCCTGGTTTCTTGTATCTCAAATCTTCCTCTGAATGAAGGGTGGCATTCATGATTTCAACATCTTTGCTCTGCAAGATGATAAATTTGGTGGCATCTCTGACCAACACTTCAATTTTCTCAGAGGCAACAAAGTCCAGGGAGGTGAGATTTGGATGGACAGAAAGGTCATAGTGGAGGGGAATGACCCTGTTGGGAAACCTTAGCTCACGCCAAGGAAATGGTTCCCCATTGGTGGCTATTGGGAAAGCCCCAGGATCCTTATTGAAGTGATCAGTAGATGGCTGAGAACAAATGCATACTTTGGATAGGATGACTGCTGAGCAGTAAAATCCTATGTAAATGTTAAATGTTGGTTTATTGCATGAATTAACCATCACAGAAGAAAGGAATACTAAATCTATTCTCTAGAAGATGATTTAATATCCAGGCTAAATCTCATAGTTCTCCACAGCACTGCACTGGCTCTAGTTAAGTCACACAGGATCCAAACAGTATGTTTCAGTAAGTAGATTTATTCTAGAAGGGAAAAAACATTTATAGCATGAAGAAAAGGAATTTAATTCGTAAATAAATTCTTAAAAAATAAAAAAAATTCATTTGACTGGGGAAAACCTGCTATCTTGCAGAATCAGGCCAAATATTCACAAAATAAAGTAGAAATCAAGGAATTATCTGGTTATTACAAATAAAAAATTTCAATGAAATGATTCTGTTTTAAAATTGCATATATAGAATTTCCTCTACATTCCTGTGCAATGAGCAGAAGGCAGGTGTGTAAATCCATCACATGTTAAATGTTTTTAACATTTGGCTACATTGTTCTAACAGTATCCTGGACACCTGGAAGTAAACTGCACATGTGTCTCCATTTTGTCTTAAGTCACAAAGAATATTATAGGGTACCAGATATTATTAATGATATTGAAATTCACCTCTTTCAATAAATAATATCATCTGAATGGCCCTATTCTATGACTGCTGTGTAAAGGATGCTGGCAAGTTAGGACTTTACCACTGGTTTATTTTAGATATGTCAAAAGCTATGGAAATAAAATTTGAGTTTATAATATTCTAAGTGAGGATATTAAAAAAAAATTTTGGTCCTCTTCATCTCTGGGTAACTTAAAAAATACAATTAAGCCAAGCTGAATTCACTGCCTATATAAATAGAACTAAGATGATCTCTTCTTATCAGAAGGAAAAGGCCAGAGAACATGTAAAATTAGGATGAACAATACAGTTAATTTAGGTGATTTAATTCCGACCCTCAACCTGCCACTTGCCTCTGCTTACCTCCTCCCTGCTCCCAACCCAAATGTTTTCCTTTTCTTTTCTTTTTTATCATTAACAAGTTTTCAGAATTAATTACCTAAATAATTACTTCAATTTTCCAATATGTTTTATTGGTGCACATCAACAAGTATTGTTAAAAGAACAAAGAAACAGAAGAATAAAATAATGGTTAAATAATGACTCTTCTTATTCAGAATAGCCAAGATATAGAAATAACCTAAGTGTCCATCAATGGAATACACACACGCACATGCACACTCACAGACATATACATATACACATATATATTCCCATATATATGTAAACACACATATATATAATATAATAAATAAATGAAATATATAATAGGGTATAATAGAATGTTATTCAGTCATGAGAAAGAAGGGAATCCTGCCATTTGTGACAATATGAATGGACTTTGAGGACATTATGCTAAGTGAAATAAGTCAAACAAAGACAAATACTGTATGATATGGCTTATGTATGGAATCTAAAAAAGTCAAACTCAGAGAAACAGAGAATAGAGTGGTGGTTACCAGGAATTGAGGGGTGAAGAAAATGGGGAGATACTGGCTAAAGGGTATAAACGTCCAGTTGTAAGATTAATAAATTCTAGAGATTTAATGTACAACATGATGGTTATAGATAATAGTACTGTATCTTATACTTGAATTTTTAGTAGATTCTCAATTTACTCTAAAAAGAGTAGATTCTAAATGTTCTCACCACAAAAAAGAAATGGTAATATGTGATGGGATGGGAGTGTTAGCCAATGCTAAGATGTTAATCATTTTGCAATATATAAATGTATCAAATCACCACATGGACACTTTAAAACTTACACATTGTTTTGTGTCAATTATAACTCAATAAAGTTAAAGGAAACTTTTTTAATTAAAAAAGATGCTTCTTGACAGGCAGTGACTCTATAGTATCTTACTATGCTGATGGACAGTGACTGCAGTGGGGTATGTGGGGAAGACTTGATAATATAGGTGAATGTAGTAAGCCTAAATTAAGGAGTGGTTCTGCCCCAGCTTGTAGCAGATACTCCCCAAGAAAGCTATATTTTACTGTTAAGAGTAGGGAGAAAGGCCTTGATATTTACTCGTATAGCTTTTGACTTTAGAACTAGTAAGGATGTTAAAGGTCAGCCAGTGCAAATCCTTGGTGTCCAGGTGAAGAAACTGAGTGAGTGACTTTTACACAAATCACACAGGAAGATGGAGGCAGAGTTGGGACTAAAACACAACTCTTTGACCCTTGGCCTTGACTCTCCACTACACTGCTGGGTACCTTCAGTAGCACTGTAGTGAACAAAACATCCTGGGATCGAAGACACAGAATTGCAACAAATGTTTGAAAGGCTAAAAGACATTGATTGAATTGTTAGCAGAGCACCCATGTAAAGTCAGTCCACCAGCCTGCCCAGAACCCTTGAAGGACAGACTGCGGAGACAAATGAGGGAAAAGTGAGCATAAATGAGATAATTAAAATGAGATAAATCTCTTTCCAAAAGAGTCAGTTAAACAGGAAGATTCTCAGATTAAGTCCCATCCTTAACAGTGCATTCTTTCCAAATCAGTAGTGCCAGATTCACCCCCTTTCCCCAGATCAGCACCTTAGATTACAAACAGTTTTATACCTTTAGTTCAGGTCATTATTTTCACTGAAAAATGTTGATTTTAAAACAATTAAGGAGAATGTTAATGTGTTACCTTAATCCATGCTGTTACAGATTTGAATGGAGGGGAATTAAGTTCTGCTTTCACTTTGTATTTGGGCAAGACTCAGAACTGCTTACTTCCTGATTATAGCTCTGGCTGGTTATCACATAGAGATAAATGGGGCTTAGGAAAAAGCTTTAGTGGCACAAGAAGCTAAGCCGTGGCTTCAGGGTCAAAGCCATGCAGTGGCGAGGCAGCGTAGGACCACAGCATCTCAGTGCTCCTGTTTCATCTTCACCCTCCTCTTGGACCCACGTGTGAAGTGTTCAGAACCTAGTTGGTGTATTTTAATGCCAGGGGATTTTACGACATGATTTTGAGTCTTTCACTGTGCTGAGTCCTTACTGTCATGGAATCTGTCCATCTACTCCTGAAAGGTAACTTCAGTGACCACTCCATTGGCTTCTAAAGCCTTTATTAGAGGCTATTATCCCTGTCTGTCTATGTCTGTAGCCTCTTGCCTCCTGGACATAAAGGACTGTCTCCTGGAGCTTCATCTCTCCACGTCTCTTGCTCTGCCAGGGAGAGTTGGGCTGCTTCCTCCTTACCACCCTGGGTGCTGGCCTTCCACAAAGATGAAACTCTGCCCTCTGCTCTTTTCTCGTTTTGCTCTTCCCCTTGGAGACTTTGTTCAAGGGCAGAGATTTCCCACTTATCCTCATTTATCCCACATTTGTCTCCCCGATCTCTCCTTCCAGGGTTCTGGGCAGCCCGATGGACCAACTTGACACAGTACTCTGCTAACAAATCATTGTCTTCTTTCCCCAGATGGGGACCTTTTGCTTTTACTTCATCTGTTTCAAGCATTCCTCCATTGCCAAAGATTGGAGCATATAATTATCTTGATTTTGCCCCTCTAATTTGTTACCTGTCCTATTGATTCTTTGTAATTTTTATTTTTTAACCACCTTTAAGAAAAATTTCCAGTCAGTGATCAAAGCAGTACAGGTCCTCATTATTCCTCACAATGACCTTTAGACAAGTCCTGCTGGTCCCTTGAGTCCTGCCCCTGCAGTTCACTCCTAGGATGCAAGTCAGCAAATCTGTCCCCTCCCACTACTGCCTAATCATGACACCCCCATGCTCAAAACCTGCCTGTGGTTTCCCCCAGTCTACACGGCGGATGACCAGCTGGAAGCCCACGGGCTGCATGAACTCTCTAATGCTCTGCTTGGTTGTTTTGTTTAGATCCTAGTGCATTAAAGGGGGACGTATCCACACACAAGTGTTACTCTTGAGTAAAATACAACAAGTTTGGCTCTTACTGTCTTGCAGACCCTCTTCATACACTGGTATTCATGCCTTGTCCTGCTCTGCATCTCAGTTTTCAATCTGTGTCTTGGCTCAACATTCAAATGCTGCCATGATTAGATCCCAGGTAACTCTCAAGCTTAAATTTCTTTTCTCTTTCTATATTTTATCATTTCAACCTGTATGAACACTTTGACAAAGTAGGAGCAAAAATCAAGGAGGTAGTCTATACCTAGGGCCAGAGGTGCAGGGTTGAATGGGGTCCTGCAAAGTGGCATTTCGTGTAATTAGAGGGGAACTACGGGATGGGGTGGGTTGGCTGGAGCAGGTGAATGCTGATAAAGGGACAAAGAGGAAGAGGTACCATAGCCAATTTTTAGAATCTAGTTCTGCGGCGGGGGAGAGAAAGGGAGAAGGAGATATGGGAAGCTGGGGCTCATTCCATGACACTCCTCGTCCCAGGACCCAGCCCTGCTGTGTGTGTCTGTATGTTCTCAGAATTGCCCCCTGCCTATTGCAAGAGAAGTGATTATGGGGAACTAGGAAACAGGGCGACTGGGGTGAGCTATAGAATCTTAGAAGAGAAAGTTGAGTAGGATCAGGTGACTCTGTAGCTTATTATTGAAATTATTTCTCAACAAAAGGGGTTTCTAACTTTTTTTTCCTGGTAAGAGAAGAAGCTTTGGGATGTTTGTTGCTTAGAGAATTCACACATCTTACTCTTTCACTTCATCCTGGTCTCCTGAACGGTCTCTTCCTCAGAGACTCTCCTTATTGGCCTGAAAGCAGTGGCACTCTTCCCTGAATCCACCCCAGCTACTACCCAGTGTCTGCCCCCTTAGCCTGCTTTCTTTCTTTCTTCTGAGAATCTAAAAATTCCCGACACTACACTATGTATTGATGTATCTGTTTGTTTTATCTGTCTCCCCACTAGAACATAAGCTCCTGGCAGGTAGGGAGTTTGTCTGCTTTACTCACCACTGATGCCACGAGCCTAGAGCCTACAGCAGTGCCTGACATATGAGACCCTCAGTAAACATCTGCTAAATGGGTGAATGCACTTTTTTTATATAATAACCATTACTATTTATTGAAAATTAACTATGCAGCAATAGGCACTCTTTGAGTACTTCACATGGATTACCTAATCTGTCCTCACAATAACCCTATGAAATAGACACTATTATCATCTCCTCTTTACAGATAAGGAATCTGAGGCACAGAGAAGTTAAGTCACTTGCCCAAGGTTGCACAGCCAGTTTCAGGTGGAGCCGGGACTGAACCCAGGTGTTGTTTCTTTTTTTGGTAAAGTGTCATTGATATGCACTCTTATGAAGGTTTCACATGAAAAACATGTGGTTGCTACATTGGGTGAATGCATTTTTAATATTTTTAGTTTTTTCTTTTTTCCCCCTAGATTTCCCCACACTTGCTCCACTCTTTAGGAAGATCAGGGAACTTTCCATTTGGATGAGTCCTGCATTTCCTCATCTTTACTGATGCTGCCATTCTGCATGCAGTATAGCTCTCTCAGTGTCCCCCATGCAAACTGACTTACCACAAAGCAAATGCCTCGTATAGGAAGCCTGCTTGGAAGTGACAGATATGTCCTTTCCAATTCCTAACTACAAGTATTTATTTAGTCAGTTTTACTGGCCCTTAACTTATGCTAGTGTGTTTGTGCTTCATAGCCTTCCTTAAATTATCAACTCTAAAGGCTAGGCACCAAACACTGTGCTTCACCTCTTTCTAGAATCTCTGAGTGCTGTGTACCTTGTAGGCTCTCAACAACTAGGTGAGAATGAATGAGTTAAAGTGAATTTTCCAAAGAGAATTCCAAAGAGTTGAAATGCACTTGCCAAAATATTCAAAAATTTTTACTAATTTTTAACAGAAATCTTTCTCAAATACATTACAAATATTTCCAACACCTTAGGGTGTCCTCAACAGATTTAAATCTTAATTATTCAAGTTTTTTATTACAAACTGGATGTAAAATAAAAAGAATTGGACTTGAGTTACCTTAAAATTAGTCACTTCCTCATTACCAAGTTATAGACAATAATACTTCCCTTAATTATTATAGCATATTATTGTCAATGTCAAAATCAATTTGGTATGTGAAAAACAATTTATAAATGTTCTATAAATTTTAATACATGTAGCTGTAACCTTTATAATAATAATCAGTGATTATGCTACATTGCAATAAAATGCTGCTCTTGAGGCAAATGAGATGTAGTAAATACACCCATGCTATGTCATTTTGAATTATTGTGGGTATGGTATGTGGATAAAATGGGAGTTCCTGTGGTCAGGGTTCTCACCTGGCCCTGGTTGACTAGCTCCCTGCACACCTGTGGGCAATACATGGCTGTTGACTCTTTAAAAAGAGCTCCACCCAGTGCCCTGGGTGTGATACGGTGGCAGGGCTGCAAGGCTGCAGGAGAGCAGAGCAGAGGCTGTGCGGGACGACTGTGCAGAGAGGCCCAGAAGACGGCTGTGTGGACAGAGGGGCCCAGAGGCAGAGGCAGGCTTGCTGCACACAGACTCGCTCTGAGTGAATGGGATTCTAGTGACTGACCTGCCACCTGGAAATAAAGTTGGGTATAACCCTTTCACCCCAAGAATGTTTTGCTGTCAATTTCTTTGGTCACATTGAATCCATAGCAAACTTGCCCAGGGCTGAAACCCAGTGGCAAGACATGTACAAAGTTTATTCCAGTTCCTCCATTATTATATTCAGTTTTTATTGACCTTCCTTTGTTACCTTCAATTTCCCCAACCTCCACCCTAGATCTGTTTCAAGATTGTTCCTTCTACAGTTCTGCCTGCTGAAAAATTAGCAAATGAATCTAGTTGGACATTATTTCAGGCACTCACATGCCTTAAAATTATTTCCTAATGCTGCCTGTGTTGCAGGTGGTGAGATCTCAGCATACACGCGATGATAAATGGTCTTCTGATGAACGAAATGTTCCTGAGTCTCCTCCATTTCCACTCTCCTGACTGTTGAATTTCCTCCCCTTCCATAGGCACGGCTTTTGTCAACATGCTAAGTGCTATCACTAGGAACACACAGCTAACTTACTGTTTTAAAAACCACTTCCTCTTCTCTGCCTTCCATTTCTTTTCACAAGCATCTTTAAAAGTTTGTTAAAAGTACTTCACAGACTTATTGCTATACCTCTGTTTATTTTCAAATAAAATAGATGCAGTGTCTATAAGTTGGTTTTAAATTTTGTAATTAAAAAAGTGAAAATTTATGACAGTACAAAGATCTAGGACCTATGCAAACAGGTGGGTGGGGGTGGAATTCACCTAATAAATACATTCTATATTTATTTTTGAACTCATTCTGTTTCGGCAGAAAATTTAAACAGCATAATGTCAGACTTTTAAGCCACTAACAGGAAGATGGTTTTTCAAAAATGGTTATCTTTGACATGCCTTCCACAACATTTACTAAAAATGAAAATGGAAGAAAGAAACAATAAAAATCTTACATTATTGAAGTGGAGGAGAATATTAAGCAAACCTGACATTAGATAACTGAAATTTACCACATTTAAAATTTGTATTTAATAACCAAATGAAAACTTCTGGTGATTGTCATTTTCCAAGTAAAGATACCTAAATAACTGATGACACATTTTCAAAGAGGAAAATAGTTGCAAAACAAATCAGAGTGTTTCCAAGCTTTTTAAATACTTTATTCTGAAAGGAGATTCTTATGCTTCTAAATGATAAAACCAAGTGATTAAAACAACACAGTATTGCTTGGCTTTCCACTACTTAGTTTAAATATCTATAAGGACTTCCGCCTTGCCAAAATTGAATAGGGACCAAGATCTATTCTCTCACTAGAAACAACCCCCAAGTATGGACAAAAGACAGTTTGAAAGATAGTGAATGATAGGCAACCGAAGGCAGTGATCCCAGAAGAGCAGGAAGCAGAAGGGCAGCACTGTGACGGTCCCAGCTGACAGTCTTGAGAGATGCCACACAGCTGAGCAGGGAGGGAACCCAGAGGCAGAGCCCAGCAGGCCTTTGGAGTTGAGGAGATGCACCTGAGAGTCTGGGCCAGCAAGAAAACTGGAGTTAATAGGATGAAAACCAGAGAGGACAAAGCTGCAGAGAGTCAGGGCAGGAGAAAGCTAAAGGGGCAAGAGGGGGTGGGAGGCAGAGCAGGGGTGTGTGTATGTGGCAGGGGGCCACTGGGAGGGAGACAGGGAGAACACTTTGCAAATCTGCTGAGGGTTCTCCTTGAATATTTGGCTAATCAGTGATCAGCACATGCATGTGCAGAAAATACCACATCCAAGCTGACCAGTTGCCAAGGATTATAAGTAATGGTGCCTCGGGCCCACACAGAAGCAGAAATAGTGCTGCGTCCACCAGTCAGACTGGAAAACCTCAAGGTGAACAGTCCAACAGGTGAGTACCCAGGGTGGGGAGCAACACCCCTAGAAAAGCACTGCTTCAGGCCCATCTAACAAATCTTAAAAACATTATCCCAAAGAATCAAACTGTTTCAAGTAACTTAACTGTCCCAGCACAGACCTCAAGAATACTGCAGTGACGAAAAACATCTCCACCACCTGACTAGGTAAAAAAGGTGAGTAGTGATTTTTTTTTAGTAAGTTGGGAGTTTTTACTTACTGCAATGAGAGAGAATGCACACTATGGGGAACATGGGTATCCCAGAAAGAAGATGTTAGAAAGAAAATATTTAAATAAAGTATTAGAGGATGTGTAGGTGATTGGGGAGGGCTGAATGAAGCAGGGCTTAGTTTTGCTTTAGATGTTTTCAGGAAGTGGGGTGATTATTAATAAGGAGGGAAGATTAGACCAAGGCTAAGGCTATAATTGGTAAATAAAAAGCCGTCACTTCTGTGGATCCTCTGGAGGTGTTTGGCTATTTTTGTGGCTGTGACACTGTTTATGTTTTGCCTGTGTCCAGGCATGGTTATGGAGTCAGCTTGTTTTTGCCTTCATCCATCATAGTCACAGAGTGGTCTTGTCTGATGGTGATATTTGGTGAGATTGTTTATGTCAGCAGGGGACCACCGTGGTCTGGCTGTGAGTGCCAGGTCAGCTCTTGCATGTCAGCGACCCCTTCTCTCTTTCTCATTATGCTCATTATGTAAGTTTTGGTCTCAGTTTTTTCTCCCTTGGGCTTGTGTGGCTGTCAAAATTTCTTTTTTCCAAACCTGCAAATGTCCATGGTACAAAAGCACCCTTAAATGCCTCTTGGATTTCCATCTTCTCTAGAATCTTGGCTCCGTGGTTCTTAGTCTTTAATGCTTTAAGGATGTTTCCATGTTTTGTTAGTGTTTATAGTTGTCTTCAGTGGGAGGGCTAGTCCAATTGCATAGTGTGCCATTATTTCAAGTGGAAGCACCCTCCCTTTTGCCCTGGTCCTCCCTATAACCCTCCCTAAACCTCAGGAAGGCTAAACCTTTTGCACTATCCTCACTTACTAGAACTGTGCAGTCAGGCTAGATGTTTGATCCCCTTACAATAACTCCACAGAGGTGATGGTCAAATGACTGAGTAATTTTCACCCCACTCTTGTTTAGTCTTCCCTGACTCAACACTCATCATCTCCTTCAGCTCTGTCTCTAAACTATCCAGAGAATCATCTGACCATGTTCTTTATATGCAAGGGCATATAAAGAAACAAGCCCTGCCCCCAGCTCCTCTTCCAGCTAGATTGGGCCTCCTGTTGCCCTCGTCTATGGAAATTCCGGATCCACCTGTTACCCTCTATTAAGTCTGTAGACTAAGTATAAGTAGGTGAGCTCATGGTTATACTTCTGAAAATATGTTGAGTAAACTAATTCCCAATTTTTATCCAAGAAGAAATAGAAGCTTTCCTCTTCCCACCCATGTCCCTTGTTTGTACCTCCCTGAAGCCAGTAATTGGTATACAACTCATCAGCATACAGTAGGGGATGATGGGTATATTTTTCAAATAGTTGTCAGTAGAGAAGTCATGATTACAGCTTTAAGGCATTTCTGTTCATTTGAACACTTAGCTCGCAGAATTTTATTGAAATTTGCTTTACCCTCAGAGCAAAGCGGCTTTGCGTAATCCTTGCTAAGGATTTTTAAATTCCACATCAGTGTCATCCAGTAGCCAGATTCTCTGAGGGGAGAGCAAAAGCAGTGGTAGCTTCATCTAGTGGTGACAGGTGTAACTGCAGAGAATCATTTGTCATAGCCCCAATGCTTTATACAAACATACATCCCAAATCACACAGTCCAAAAAGCAATTACACATGTTTATGCAATATACAGCCCAGACCTGAGATAGTCAGATTTATAGGATCAGGGGTCAGAACTCACAACATTCCATTACTAAATTCAATTTGGATACTTGAATGAGCATGCTTTGGAAGTACAGCCTTCAGTATATCAGTGGGAACATGGAGGAACAGGAAACAGTGGGAACAGTGGGAAATGGAAGAACTGGACCTCCCTCCAAACCTGTCCTGCTTGGGTGCTTTAAAGTTAGTCATATTTTTAACATATAAAATTTTCTACAAGATGTAAATCTTGAGTGATTTTCCTGTCTCTGTAAGAATATTTAGAGATCTTTCCCATTATTTGGATAAGAATGTCACTTGTTTAGAAGATACAGAAGGGTCAAGGAGGTCACATATAAGTTCAAGGGGAAAGAACCCAGCATTCTGTCAGGGAGCAGAACCTCATTATGCCATTTGTACCTATTAATGATTGCCTAAAAGACCATAGAAAGAGTTCAAGAAAAAGCACAAAAGGTAAAAAAATGTAGATAAAATATTAGCTTTAATCCAGGATTTGTTTTTTTCACCCCAGAGGGAAATATGTTTTATAAATTTTTAGCTCCAAAATATTTTCTTAACATTAAAAAATGTTTGCCCCAGAAAATTTTGCCTCCTTTTTCTCCTCCTTCTTTTAAAATATTTATTTATTTATGTGTACTTTTATTGTGCAGGTAGGTTTACTAAACAGACCCAAATCACTGAGAGTTGAGATAGGAGTAGTTCCCCATGTCCACATCCCCTGCCATTGCCTTTAATAATGTTATGCTCTGGCTCCTCATTTTTCTACCTCCTGTTTTTTTTTGGGGGGGGTGTCTTTTCTAGGATCACTGGAGAAGTAGGCAAAGAGAAGAAAAGGGGTAAAACCTTTTTGTTTGTATGGGTATTACTCATCCAGCTCTCCCCTGGTCCCTGGTGCTTTCTGTGGGTGACACACGTATATATGTTTCCTCTTGTGGATTTGTTATTAATGTTTTTAGTTCTCTGCTCAATTCCCTAATGTCTTTCAAGTTTACTAGCTTTGATTTGCATCTGTCAATAAGATTCCCACTGAACACACACATAGTTCTGTAAATTGGACCTCTGAAAAGAAAATTTTTATAGTTTTAGCTTACACCTACGTAAGTTACTTTGAAAAAAAAATGGTATTGTTTCCTTGTTCAACCTATCAAATCTTTCCAATATTCTAAGGAAATTATGATGGAACTTGCATCTTCAAGAGACTTAAATCCAAAGTACGAGATACAGTACATTTGACTGAAAAGCAGAATTCCTTTTCAAAGCATTGCATCCCTCCAAGAGTGTATATAAGTCTCTTTTATAATTATCTGAATCTTAATGTTTTGCTTTACAATTATATTTTGTGAGAAATGACCTTAAACTTTTCTTTCACAGCTGAAATATAACTTCTGTTTATCACTTGATAAAATATTTCTGTGCAATTTGTACCAAACATGCATACAAAAGGTAATGAAACTAACCTGAGATTTTTCCACGATGATCTCTTCTGTACTTAGAAACATGTAATTTTCAATGTACATTCATTTTCCTTGAAGTGCTCAGAACAAGGAGTGTTAGTTTTAGGGAAGAAGGAAGCACTTGTTTGCTAACCTAAGGGAAAACACATGGGTTTGACGTATTTGGCATAAGTTAAATAACTTTCAGCTCAGCTACTCTATTAATAATAAGGCAATCTTACTGCTTTGGAAGGTAACAGTGTCAAATAACCACCCAACTTTACTGAAATGCAGATGATGATGGCAACATTATTCATTCAACAGATGTTTATTGTGTATACATTTTGGCCACTGCTATGTTACATACTGCCAGGAAGTGAAACAACTCTTGCCGCTGTTTGAAGCATCTTATGTGCATGTAAATGTGAATGTGCATGTGTATGAATGTTTCTCCCTTTCAAAAAGCACAATAATGTATGCACAGGGTTAAAAATCAAATAGCAAAAAAGTTACAATGAAAAGCAACAGAATTTCTCCCTACTCCTTCCTACTTGTAGTCACACTTCCCTGAGGCAATCATTTGCAGGCATTTCTGCTTCATTTTGTTTTCTGATGATTATTTCCCTAATCCTAAGTACTGTTTTGGACAACTGTATTTTAAAGTAGGGTCTATAGAACCCCTGGTTTGAAATATAAAGATTTACTTCATTTCTACCTTCCTCAGTTTCCCCTCCAAGATTTTTTATTACTTGTATTTTAGTTCTTCTGTTACCTTTATATCTCATACAGTACAGATAAACCTTGGTTCCTGAGACCATGAACTTTAGATAGCATCTCTTCATGCTCAAATATGTAAGGTAATGGTAACTGAAATTTACTGAATATTTACTATGTGCCAGACTCTATTCTAAGTGTTTTACATGGGTTATATTATTTAATCCTTATAACAACCCTGTATATATATGGCCTTAAAGAATGAGGAGGAAATCGAAAAGGGGAGAAGGCACATAAGGAAGTGACACTCAATGAGCAGCGATAGAGGTGGGATTTTTTTTTTAAGAGAGAAGATTTCTAAGTCACTGTTTATAATTAGGGGCTTGCACTAGAAAGGAGTGGCAGGTATGACTGGAGCCTGAGCAGGTGTGGCTTAAGAATTTCCATATAGAAATCAGTGGGTGGCTGGGAATGTGAACAGAAATTCTTGAAAAATTCAGGCTTGGAAATCAAATAAAAGATGATAAATGAGTCTGCTGAGAGAAAATGCAGGCCAAGAAGAGGAAGGGACACTTAGAGGGAAAAGGAAAGAAAAGGAAAGGAGAGCTAGGAAGTAAGGGACAGGGGGAGGATCCTGAGAACATGACACAGGAGCCCAGGCAGGAGATCTCTATAAAAGAAGGGTAATCAGGGTCAGCAAATGGAACAAGAATGTGGGTGATGATTGAGAAAAACCCTTTGGAGTGGGTCACTCAGACAACATCTTTAAGAGATGGCTTAGCTTCAGGAGAAGCTAAGATTCCTGCCAATAGCTAGGAGTATAGTTCATGGAGAATATAGACTAATGTTTCCAGAAACATGCTGTTAAAAGGAGGAAAAGAAACAGGACAGCTATTGGGGAGGGGTAGACAGAGGTTGAATAAAAGCTATTATGACAGTGGAGAAACTTGAACATATTGCTGAACAAAGGAAAAGTTCAGAGAAGAAGAATGACAGAGGGGAGAGCTTCTGAAGGAGGCGTGAGGAAATGGGATGGAAGTGCAGCTTCAGAGATAAAGCCACAATCTATGCCTTGCAGGTTTTTTCCTAAATGCATTGGAAAGCCACTGGAGGGTATGGAGCAAGGAAGAGACATAATC